AATAAACTTTAAGTTTGAATGTCGATTTTTTTTTGTTTTTTTATTTAGGTATACGTACTTCGCCATGTGTTACAATTTTCATAGTGCATGCGACAAAAATCACTGAAATCTTTATATTCACCATTGTAATTTATAGCACAAATGTGTTGATATCTGAAAAAAATGGTCTAACGATAAAAAATACATAGCTTCAAATAGTTAGGTCATACATATATCAACCCTTTTATACCGTGACTAATGATTGGTTCCGATTTTTGACAAATCATGGTTATGAAAACATTTTGCGTAGGTTTGCGAAATGCTATCTACATTTCTATACACGTAATAAAATTGGAGTGTCTGTCTGTAATATCAAAAGAAAATTTCCAGACTTCGGGAATATGATGTATTTGCGTTGCTGATAACGAAAATCGCATTTAAGATTGTCTGTCTGTCTGTCCGCAAGCCTAGTTTGTTCCGGGTAATCTCTGAAACTGCTAGGACGATTTTGGCCGAACTTTCCCTGAAGGGTAGCTGACGCAGATATGCATATTATAGGCATTTTTTTTTTCGTGGATGACGTCGCGGGCAACATCTAGTCACCAATAAATGATAAATTACTTGTACTGAAAGCAGTGTGGTAATTCATATTTATTATGTAACATAACCACGTTGAAGTTCATAACATCAATCAATGGCGCACAAAGACTTAACTTTTATTTTTTACAATACTGAAAATATTTTATAATTGTTATTGTTAACATTACAAACGTATTATTGTTACCGCATATCACGCAATTATAATTCCCCTTACTTTCACCCGCGACTCCATCCAGAATTTTAAACAAAGGTTAGTAGTTCATATATTCTTGCAGACTATTCTCTACATCTATACCAAATTTCATCGAAATTCGTTCAGCAGTTGAGGCTACAAACTCTAACAAACATCCATCCATCTAAACTTTCGCATTTATAATATTAGTATGATACGATTTGATAATAATCTCGCCAGAATTGGCAACTTACGTGTCAATTAACTCACCTGAAATGTATAGGACAATCATCCAGAAAATTCCTACATCCTTTAACCAAGAAATCTGTTACCCAGAATAACGTATCTTTTGGGTATTTGATCTTTGGCTTGCGGTATTTTGCGCTTGAAACCATTCCAAACAGGAGAATAACTGTGAATGTGACTGACAAGAAACTCATGTTAAGTCTTAAAATATTGCAAATGATAATCCCACTACATACGGTCAGTTCTAACTAAAGAGTCGAAATGTTCAGGTATTTATTTCCTACAAACGCACGGTTTTTAATGAAGAATTCGACTTTTCAGTTAAATCTGTTAGATTTTTTTTTATCAAACAAGTGGGAAACGAGCACGCGCTACCTAAATAAGACAAAATGGCGAAGCAAGCGCTGCTCATAGACATTTTCGATAGCGGATGCGTTGCCTACCCTTAATTGACGATGGAAACCCACATAAAGAGGTTATTTCCCCTTCCTGTGCGTCTCCTCCAGCGTCAAATCACGTTCCTCTCCCATCCTTTTCTTATAAGAAAACGGGTGGGAAAAAAGAGAAACTAAAGTTGGGCCTAAAGGTTAGAACTGGTCGTATCTTGTGTGCTTTGAATCAATACGTCAATATCATATTACATTAGCATAAGAGAATACTAGTCCTAAAATGCTCGTCTTAAATTTTGAACAAAATATGTAAATAAAATATGAAAATGGATATTTTGGAATCGCCTCTTCTTATAGAGATATTCTTGATACGTATAAAATTGCATTATTGACTGGCTTTCGCCTGCGACTCCGTACAAGTGAAATTTAAAAAAGCAAAGTAAAACCTATGTGTTCTTCAAGACTATCATCTACATCTATGCAAATTAAATCGAGATCCGTTCAGCAGTTTAGGCTACCAACTCTAACATACATCCATCCGTCTAAACTTTCGCATTTATAATATTAACTAGTAAGATTTTTAACGAAAATAGATAACATACCAGTTGAATATTTAATCATCGCGCATAACTAAAATTGATTTTAATATTTCCGATATACCAAAATTTATTGTGAAACATAAAAACAGTCGTACAGTAGTTGTAAGCTAATACAAATAAAAGATTTTATAAAAGTAATAAAACTCCGATATGTAAGTAAATATATGTTATAGGTAATAAACATAAATATGAAAGAACTAGCAATGTACTTGGTCATATTTTTTTTAACATTCTTCGTGCAACGCCAGTATAACCAGCAAGTAGCGGCGGCAGCAGTCGGTGGCTCAGTGGTTTAAGCACTTGACTTGTAATCTACAGGTCTTGGGTTCGAATCCCGCTGTACCAATGTGATTCATATGTGCATAAATTCCCGACGTTCTTACGGAGAAGGAAAACACCGTGATGCAACCTGCACATATCGGCGAAGATATGTGTGACGTCAACCAACCCGCACTTGGGCAGCGTGGTTGACTATGGCCTAGTCACCCCTTATTGGAGTATGCTCCGAGCCCCTCGGTGGGGACGTATAGTGAGCTGTTGATAATGCCAGTATAACCAAGTGACTTAAGTTTCAATGGAATAAAACTCCAGTTACGTAGTTCGGAAACGCATTTCAAGAAGTTATTCAACCAATAACACTAACGAAGTATCTGAGAAACCGGCCATAAATACCTCTACTTGTATTCGCTTGTAAATAAATCTATCGTATTATTAATTCTCTGCACACAGTAATTTTCATTTTCCATAACAGTTTGAAATGAATTTCTTTCGAAATTACATTAAATTACTAAACGAGTTTGTACGCGTATCTTTAGATCGGTTTTATACAATTTTCGTGAAAGTAAATCTGCATAGTAAAGGCTTATACTAAATAAAATGAAAATATTTCAACGACTTGTACGTTTTGTAATAAAAAAAAAATATTAATGACTCGTAAAAACTAGAGCTCACTAATAAAAGGAGAATGACAGCAGACGCATACTTTTGAGAAAATTAAGACACAACTGCAGTGCGATTGCCGATTGTTTCGCAAGCAATTTAACTGTTTAGTTGCACAGCTAAAAATCCAGCAGTGTGTGCATTTCCATATAAGCTTATAGCAATCCAAGCGAGACTAGTAGTGCGATAGTTTAGTCTCCAGTATTTGCACACTCTAAGTGTTGACTTTTGTTCTACTAATAATTTCGGTATTGGAACCAATAATTGGGGATATACGATACCTTTTTAACAGGCTGGTTCTGGTCTGTCATTATTAGTTGGACTTGTGACCGCCATGTCAGAAAGCACGCCCGTACATTAAAATCACAAACAAAAGACTATCTAGATTATTAAGTAGAGATGAAACTGCAATTACTAGATTTAATTCTAGTTGTTTTTGCGAATACAGAAATACGTATTGATTTTTTATTAAATTGTACAAAATTGTGGTTTTTTATTGTTATTTTTTTTCAATCGCCGCAATCAAATAAACCAAATTTTATCACAAACCAGTGTAAATCATAATATGTAAATTGTAAGGTGAACTCGTTTGTACGTTCGATGCGTATAATGAAGATACGTTTGAAAATTCAAAGTTGATAGCTCGTTAGGTTTGCAAATGTTGAAGTTATGATTGAAGAAAAGTTTCATATTTAATATTTATTTGCACATATGAAAGGGTTTTTATATACTCACCTCAGGCGTTACATTATTAAAAATATAAAAAAAACTTTCGCCTGATACTCCGTGTGCATTGATTTAAACAATAACTAAATGAAGTAGCCTAAGTATTCTTCCGGGACATCTTTTAACATCTACGCCACAATTCATGGAGATCCGTTGAGCAGTTTAGGCTACAAACTCTAACAAACATCCATCTTAACTTACGCATTTATGATATTACTAGAATATGCTGTGATTGCTGACATCCTACAACAAATTGTGAGTTTAGACATTATCATTTAAGCATATTTAAATAAACTAGCTGTTCCCGTGCGACTTCATCCGCATAAAATGTCAAAATGACAACATGACAACCTTGGCATTTTTGCTTTCTTGATGTTGGCAGCAACTTATGGTCTCTTTCCCATATTAGGGTTTTTATCTAAAAATTTACCCCCTAAGTTTAATGGCGTTAAAATATATAGCGTAAAGCGTGACGTAAGAGTAGGGCTATTCATTAAAAAAAGAATTATTCGAAAATATGCTGTAATTTCTGACATCTTAGGCAACAAAGAAGTGTGTGTTTACGCTTTATTATAATAGTATAGATAGATATAGACAATTTAATAGATGATCATAGGCGCTGATGTAATTTTGGAGCCGAGAAGTTCTACGGTAGGGTCAATTACTTTATTTTGCCTTTTGATTTATCGTATCGTAAATAAGTATAGAAAATGCAAGTGAAATCGAAGAAGGGGTGAAAACGTCGGGGTGTAACATAACACTTTCGATGTGGAGAAACTGTATAAACATATAACAGCAATGTGTTTGTCTGTTTATTTTTCTAATATCAATAAGCGATTAGACCAAAGTATTACTTTTCATTCCGATTTCTTGTCTCAGCGATGTCGAATATAATTAATATTGTTTATGAAAAAAAAAAATATGTTTTGAATATTCCTAAGTAACATAACATTTTAATGTATTATTCCTTATTGAAATATTTTGGAATTCAATGATTTCGAAACGTCTAAATATTTTTTTTTATAAAGAGACTAAAGAAATGTAATTCAGAAAATTCATACATATCTAACACTAAATAAATAAATAAATTATTTAAGTTCATTAAAAAATAAAATAAATATTATACACGAGTGATGCCGCGTGAAACATGCTATTCAAATGGCGCTTGGAAATCATCCGGTAAGTATTAACGCTGTTCCACTGCTGATTTCTGGATCATTTAAATAGCGGATCAGATCCGAGCTCTTGACATTGATCTGTCAAACGTCAACGTATTCGCGTTGACAGTTTTATTTTTTTTTTAACTCGTGACCAGTTAAAATTAAATCTTTTTTTCTCTTTGTATGTGGCCAGTAATAATACTGTTAGTGTATTTTATATAGTGAAGTGTGGAATATTATTTCAGAAGTGGTAAATATTTACTAACTTATAATTAACCAGCTGTTGCCCGCAACTTTGTCCGTGCGATAAAAAACGTAGTAGACAATGTGTTCTACCAGACTACGTTCTGCATCTACACCAAATATCAAGGAGATTCGATAAGTTTGACTTTTCAATTGCACTGGGAAATATATCTTACTAGTATTATAAATGCGAAAATTCGGACGGATGGATGGAAATTGTTATAGTTTGTAGCCTAAACTTTTCAATGGATCTCGATGTAATTTGGAATAGGCGTAGGACATAGTCTAGAAGAACACATAGGCTACTAACTTTTGTTTTTTTTAATCATACGGGAATAGAGTCGCAGGTGAAATCTAGTTTTATTTATTACTAAAAGAGGACAAAGGCAGTGGCTTTTAGGTTGTTTCATAAATTTAATTTCACAAAAATAAGAAAATCGAGGCGCATAAAACCACTTTCTATTAAAAACTGTAGTTATCTTATCTCGTACATTTAATAGGAAAACTGTAAACACGTTTCAACAGAAATAATACACTAATTAAACTAATAATACATCGGATAGAAATAGTTATGCGTGGGATAATAACCGTCAGTTTTCACTGCCACTGTTCATCTTTGCATATAATAATACTAGCTGTTGACCACGACTCCTTCTGCGTAGAATAAAAAAATAGTATAAAACATAGCTTCTCGCACTGACTGATGACGTAGCTTTTCATGGGTGAAAGAATTTTTGAAATCGGCTTAGTAGTTTTTGAGATATTTCAATACATACAAAAATACTTCATACTAATATTGTAAATGAGAAAGTTTAGATGGATGGATGTTTGTTAGAGTTTGTAGCTTAAACGGCTGAACGGATTTCGATGAAATTTGGTATAGATGTAGAGGATAGTCTGGAAGAAGAAGGCAAATCACTTTTGTTTTTTTTTAATCCACGCGGACGAAGTCGCCGGCGAAAAGTGATGAATATTTTTTTATTCAATCACATCTACCAAATTTCATAATAATTCGTTAAGTCGACATTTAATAAACCGAGAACTACTTTATTTTTATTCTTCTTAAGTTTATTTTCATAATAAAATATTAATTACACAAAGTATAAACTCTAGAAGTGCTTGGAGATAAAGTTTGTTATTGATAGAACTTGTCATTACAGGTTAACGACCTAAGTTTTAAACCGATACTAGGAACTGTTTTCATACTTTTAATTAAACTTCAAAGGGATTAAACTTAACTAGAAGAGTAGAAGTAAACGATTAATATAAAGATACTAGCTGTTCCCGTGCGACTTCATCCGCGTAAAATTATGAAGATTTTATTTAATTTTTGCATGTGTCAAATTATCAATTGCAAATGCCAAAATGACATGTCACGATGACAAACCATGGCAACCTTGATGTAGTCAGCAGCACATGGTCTCTTTCCCACATTAGGGTATTTTATCTAAAATGTATACCCCTAAGTTTAACGGCGTGAAAACATATAGCCTAAAGCGTGACATAAGTGTAGGATTATTTATTAAAAAAAAAGATTTATTCAAAAATATGCTGTAATTGTTGACATCTTAAAAGAAGTGTGTGTTTATGTTTTATTATAATAGTAAGTAATATAGATAAATGCCAAAGTTTAGATAGTTGGATTTGGCATAGATGTAGAACATAGCCTGGTTGAACACGTAGGCTACTTACTTTTGTTTTTCAATTCCTCACGGAAAAAGTGGCAGGAGAAAGCTAGTATTTAGTATTCCAAAACTCATTAATATTTTAATAAAACTGTAATAAAAACTCGATTTCAGCCTGAAGATAAAATTGAAAAACAAAATGTTTAACACCAAAACTGTAATGTTACAATTCACTCTCTTAATATTAATATTAAAACAAGCAAAGACTGTAGAAGAAGGATATCTTGGACATGTAAAAGATGCTTGTTATGTCAAAGGAGAAGCACTTTCTTGTATGAAATATAAAGCATTAAAAATAGCAACGAACACATTCTTCGGTGACATATACTCAAATGAAACTATCAGAGCGAGTAGAATGATTAGTTTTGTACCACTAGATGAAGAAACGATTAAAGAAGTGATAAAGAACGAAGAAGAAGAAGCCCTGGCGGAACCTAGAAGCTTAATGTCGGAATGGTCGGAGTTTACTAAATACTTGATGAAATTAGTAAAGGAATTCTTTAAGACTAAAGGATTGAAAGTTGATCTTCCAGAAGGTGCTAGAACTATCGAGGAAACAGATGACGATGGTAAGTACAACTTTACATATTGTTTTCTTCTTAATTTTTAATGAAAGCAAGACAAAATTTCACAATTAACAAGTACACTATTTGTAATATTAGCTGATAGAATTGTGAAAGAAAACTTTAATTTTGAAGGAACACTGTTCAAACATATGAAAATTTTAGTAAGCTTTAGTACAGTCAATAACCGTAACAAGGAAGTAGTTGTATCGAGGAACTTTCCTCTTAGATATTTACACGACAAAAGAAAGCTCAAAATATCTATACAATGAACCCTGGTATATTCACCCGGGGTTCAATGATAGCTCGTGTTGGTGACAATCTCTTACAATTATCAAAATAAACAGGGCTAATGGATATAACGGTACACAGATTATTAACGAATATCAAAGATAAAGCGTATCAGAATATCTGATGTCAATGAACCATTTTATGATAAAACTAGCTTTCGCCTACGATTCCGTCCGCGTGGAGTTAAAAAAAAACTAAAGTAAATAGCCTATGTGTTCTTCCAGACTGTCCTCTACACCTATACAAAATTTCATAGAAATCCGTTCATCTACAAACTCTAACAAACATCCATTTATCCATTTAAACTTTCGCATTTATAATATTAGTAAGGAGTAAAATTAATAGTGACGGTAACTGGTATCAGAAAAAAGTATAAAAAGTAAATATTCTGTACAATTATTATTAGACATTAGTTAAGTATTAGCTTTCTTGTTGTAAATATATATTCTTTATTTCCAAAATATAATACATACATAAGACATAAGTCATAGCCGCCAAACTACTTACGTGGTTTATAGGCGTCGCACCTTTTAATCATTAATACATATTATGAAGCAAAATTACAATGAAATAAAGAAAAACATAGTATGTAAAAAATTAAAAACAAAAAATACAAGTAGTAATACAGCAAAAAATCTTAACTGTTATTTTTTTTAACAATATTTATATGAAATTATGAAAAAATGAAATACGAACAGTAATAAGAAATTTCTTAGTTTTCTCTTCATCATTAATCTTCTTCTCATTAAAATAGATTCTATTTACATCTCCTTGAATGAAAAATTAATTTTGATATACATTTAATATTTGTATCAAATAGAAAAAAATTGTATTATTTTATGTATTGGAATAATTTAAAAACTACTGGGCCGATTCTAAAAACTCTTACACCATTAAAAAGTTACGTTATCAGGGAGTAACATAGGCTACTTTTCTACTATTTTTTTAAATTCCACGGAGACAAAATCACGAGCAACAGCTCCTAGATAATAAAACACATTCTGTATTCTAAAAAAACAATTGCCAATCGTAAACTGTCCCATGTTCTTGTAGTTTAATATTGTGTACCGTTTTTCTTTCCTCTTAAAAGTTTCTAATATTGTTTACGATAACATTTCTTATAGTTACTTTTATTGTTTTAAAAGTACATTAAGAACACTGTTATTTTATAAAAGTTACATAAGCATAGCTAATTACGGAGTAATTCACACTGTTTTGGTAAACCGACAGAATTGTTTGTTGCCAACATTTATATGCAATAAGGATCGCCACAAATTGAGCTGTAGCCCTATTATGTGGTCGAATGTGCAAATATTTAAACCAGTTAAAGGTTATCTGTAATTTAAACGGATTTATCACAGTAAATACGTTATTTTACGTTTAAAAATGTACATTTAATGAATATACTTGATGATGTAGTAAATTTAAAATAAAATTGCATTTTTTTAAGTGGTTCTTTTTTTAAATTTGCTTCGTTACGTAATTCAGGGAAAATAGTAATTCACATCGACCGTAAATGTACTTAATCATCACCAGCTCACTATACGTCACCACTGAGGGGCTCGGAGCCTACCCTAGAGTAAGGAGTGACTAGGCCATAGTCAACTACGCTGGCCCAGTCCGGGCTGATTGACTTCACACGTATCTTTGAATTTCTTTGCCGATATGTGCAGGCATCACGATGTTTTCCTTTACCGTAAGAACGTCGGGTAAATTATGTACATATGAAATTCGAAAATCATATTGGTACAGCGGCATTCGAACCTCTGAGCCATCGACGTTCTAATGTACTTACTGATTATATAAAATGTTCGCCGTGTTACATGTTACACCATGTAACGGGCTTTAGTTATTAGATAACTGGACTGGTGTTTTTATTTATAACTTAAAACAAAATATGTTCACACTTCATATGTTTTGTAAAACAACGCCTGTTAATCTCAAAGCTTTCAAATTAAGAATCAAGGCAACGCTAAAACCAAGCAATTTATCTTGTTTCACATCATTTGGTAAATTGTAAGAGACCGTGCAAAGGACGAGATTAAAGTGAAAAGCATTTCGATATATCTTCACGTGTGTGTGATGTTACTACTACGCACATAATTATTATGTCAATCAATTATTGAATATTGCAAAAAAAAAGAACTATTTGAATATAAAATTGAATATAGCAAATTCTGTTGATTCTAATATTTTGCTTTGTACATTAAAAAATATGCTAACTAAAAAGGATAGAACATAGCTTTGAAATATTAAAAACTAGCTTTCGCCCGGAATTTAAAAAAAAAACAACCTTTGTGTTCTTCCAGACTATCCTCTACCTCTATACCTACTATGTCTACGGTTCAGTCGTTTAGGCTACAAGCTCTAACAAACATTCATACATCTAAACTTTCACATTTATAATATTAGTATAATTAACTCATACAAAACATTATCAATTTGCCCTTATACCTTATGGAAGGTCGGCACGGTATGTGCTGCTCTTCCATACATTTCTATCAGCCGTCATATCTGAATCCACTCCCTTCTTAAGCATATCCTCTTTCACACAATCCATCTATATTTTCTTCGGTCTTCCTTTACCTTTGTAGCCATCCACATTCTTTACACTTTCTGGTTTATGTCCCCATCGTCTCGTCATAACTCATACAAAACAATTCGTGTCAATTTACTATCGTTCTAATAAACTACGACCTGTAAAGTAAACAATTCTAAATTGGACCATGAAATACTTAATGGATTACGAATATTCCGTGTCAATAACTGTTACAAGAATTTTCTGGCTTCAAATTGAAGCGTGGGACTCGAATCAAACAATCGACTCGGTGGAGTTTGTAAAGGAAGGTGGGACTAATTTGACATTAATGACGCTAGACTTGCTTCGAAATAATTGGGACTTGAAATTAGTAGGTCGGCAAAACTTAAGAACACACAGAGTACGACGTGTGAATAAGTCATCTTTAGTAGTAATTAGTGAAAAGTTTGTTTTGTTAAATGTCTCGTATGTTTTGTATTTGATGTGAATAATTGCAATTTAATTCTAAAAGCGTTTTAATATAACTCAATAAAAAAATAGCGATTCCTTTTGACTCTTCGAAATATTTTGTTAAACATTTCTTTCTGGTATGTCATGAATAGCAGAAAAAATATGCTATTTTTAACTAATTTAGTTTCAATGTTGAAATTGTTCCACATATTAGCTTAAAATCCAACTAAATGATCTATGAACAAACTCACAATCATACTAATATTATAAATGCGAAAGTTTAGATGGATGGATGGATAGATGGATGGACGGATGGATGTTTGTTAGAGTTTGTAGCCTAAACGACTGAATCGATTTCGATGAAATTTGGTATAGAAGAAGCCTGGAAGAACACATTGGCTACTCACTTATGTTTTTTCTTAATTCCACGCGGGCGGAGTCTCGCGCAAAAGCTAGTAGGTTATAATTTAAAAAACTAAAATCACTCGAAAACTTATTCCCTTTCCCGTTCCGGTCTTTTTTTATAAAAATAGGATTGGATGGGAGAGTGGATTTGACGGTTGAGGAGACGCATAGGAAGGGGAAATATCCTCTTTATGTGCGTCTCCTCCTCCATTGATTTAGTGTTGGCAACGCATCTGCAATTGCGGATGTCTAAGGGCAGCAGTTGCTTCGCCATTTCAGCAGATTTAGGTGGCCGTTTGCTCGTTTGGCACCTTATTGTATAAAAAAAAACTACTTCTAGTTAAACTACATTAAACTAACTAAACTTGTCAACATTTCAGCGCGAGGTAAAAAGAAGAAGCTAGCAGTAATGGTACCTCTGCTCAATCTCCTAGCAACGTTGAAGACCAAGATGCTGCTTATACCAATTCTATTAGCGGTGCTGTTAATAAAGAAACTGCTTTTAGTTGCAGCGCTATTAGTTCCGAGTCTGCTTAGTACACTAAAATCTTGCAAGGTAAATATCTTATCGATAAGAAAACAAAGAAATAAACGACTGTCGAAATACTTCGACCTCTCAAAGACTTCCATCAAGTAAAAGTATTCCATATACGAAATTAATTAGAGAACACAGACGCCAATAAATTATCAGTTCAACATTACTCAATCCCTCCCTCAAATTGCATATTCGTAACTGTCACAAAACTAAATATCTTGCCACCTACTTTTATGCCAGTCACAGGCATGTCAGTAGGATACGTATGCCTTTAGCTGGCGTGAGCTGGTAATTTGAATGCAAGTGTGCCAGGTACTGGTACTCCAATACACATGGTGTTCTCATTAGGTCACGTCATAAATTTTCAATCTAACTTATTTAGTGGTTGCCTAAACCGGTGCTGTTTTATTGCAGTCAAATATAATCAAAAGAAGCGCTTACTCGTTTGTTCTTTGTCAATTGAACTTCACATATATGCTGGGTTTCTGAAGTTTCCGTTAATTTTATTATTATCTAGTGATATATTATTGTTAGGTTGACCTAAGTTTCAACGGAGCAAAACTCGTTACGTATTTCGCAATCGATGTTGATTAAATTATCGAATCAAAAACGCTGACTGATGGTTAAATGTAGCCGGGAAACCGTCCATTAGCCTTAAATTTGACGAAAACGATTGTACGTAATATATTAAATACGGGCTCTATTTAAAGTTCGTTTTACTTTACAAAAGTCGACCCTTATCTTTTCTATTCCAGACGTCTTTGTATAACACTTTTAGTGAAATCTCCCAAACTGACAAGCGAACAGAGCTTGAAGTCTTACTTTATATTTCAAGTTAATTAATGCTTATTCATAATTAAATTATGGCTTTAATATGCTTACATAGAAGTATGATAAAACTTTAGCACATTTATTAAGATAACAACGCATAAGGGGAAATATCCTCTCATTCTTCGATCAAAGATAGGCAACGCATCTGCATTTATGAATATCTGTAGACAGCAGTCGTTTCGTTATTTCGGCGAATTTAAATGGTCTTGCTCATTTACTAACTCATAGCATACTAGCTTACGCCCGCGATGCCGCCCGTGTGGAATTAAAAAACAAAAGAAAATAGCCCATCCATTCCTCCAGGCTATCTTCTTCATGCGTCGAGATCCACTCAGCAGTTTAACATATCCATCTGAACTGTCGCTAGTAAGATTAGTATTTAGTAAGTAGTAGTATTTAGTAATTATATTCGTTGTTAGTAAGATTAAATGGTCCTTTGTATTTCAGCATCATCACCCCATGACACACTACTCGTCTTACTTCGACGGTGGTTCATCAGATTTCAACACAGACTATGGGAGTAGCTACGCGTATTCATCTGGCGGTGGTTACGGCAAAGATTATGCATCTAACAGAGCGTATTTGTTGCCTAAACATAGACCAACTCCAGCGCCTATGTATATCACTGCACCTGGAACTACCGCATAACATTCTTTGAAATATTTGATCCCTATTAGTATAAAGAATATTTATTTAATTTGTAATTTAATTTATAAATACGCATGTATGTTTGTTGACAATTATAAAATTTTATTTATTCGCTTTAATTTAATTTAGTTTTATCATTTTATTTATTATCTGTTCTATGTAAGTTAACTTCAAAAAAAAAATCATTAAAAATGAACTGTTTCATTTTATTTTCGTCGTAACAATGTCAACATTAATAAATATTACATTTTTGTAAATAGTTGGTTTCGACTATGGCAAGAAAATGCCACAAATTCAATGAAATACAAATTAAAATATTGTAACAATTTTTTTAATTAAGTCTAAACATTGACTATTAAACTTTTCTTCTCTAGATTTTAAATATAATTTTCCAAGAAATTTAAATAGAACCTGTTCAAAGAATAACATTTTATCTCGTCGTGTCTTCATTAACAAAGAATTTAGAAAAAGTACGATTCAATGAAAAGAAAACGCTTTTACAAGAGCAATTTACGTAAATGAAATTAAAAAAAAAACTGTTTGGTATTACAAATAAAAAAGTTTAAGATGGATGTTTATTAGAGTTTGTAGCCTAAACCACTGAACGGATCTCGATGAAATTTGTCACAGATGTAGAGTATAGTCCGGAAGAAGATGTAGTCTACTTTTTTTATTCCACGCGGACGTAATCTCAGGTTACAGCTATAAAAATCATTTACAAGACCCTAATTATTCTGCATCGTGAATATGTCGGAAGAAGGGTAAACCGTAATAAATCTTTTAATATTTTACTTGGTATTAATATATTTCATTAATCCTGATCCTCCCATATTGTGTTCAGAGCTGTTTATTAAAGTCTTATTTAATTAAATTTCCTATTAAATTGAAAATATGTAAATGACTTTTAAATATTCATAAGATTTAGAATTACCAAAATCTGCCTAAGGAATTTGAGCTATGGAAATCTGAAATGAAATACAAGATAGTGCGACGAACGTATTTGGCTCATCGGATAAATGTAAGAAGTAGCTAGAAAGCCCACCTGTCAATGCGTGCCACAAAATCCTAGTCAGACTGTAGTCTATACTAACATTATAAAGAGGAAATATTTGTATTATTGTACGTATTTAAATGACTAAAAAACTACTCTACCGATTTTAAAAAAAATACCCTTAGAGAGATAATTTATCTGTGAATATCATAGACTATATTTTTATATTCTCGCGGTCGAAGTAGCAAGCAACAGTTAGTATTTAAAAGTATTACTTTATCGGAAACACCAATTTAAAATTGTAATATACTTACGGTAATGTGAAAAACAAGCAAAAAGGTTTTAATACTTACAAAACGTTTTCAAACTAATCAAGTTCTAGTCTAGGTCAATCCAGTTAAATAGACAGAAAACTCTATTTTATTATTCGTGGGAAACACGCTCTGGATTCCTGTAAATAAACAACCTCGTCCTATTTATGGGAAATAGGAAGTAACATTCGGAATAAAGTGTCCCCAATTTATGAGCGTCATTGATGGAAATAAATTTGTGTACCCGGAACGAAGTCAATAAGCAAATGGTTGACTTACCAAACGAAATGGCTTTTTTGTCATTTTTCCCCTACTTTTACTTAATTTCCTATATATCCCTTTGCGCATGAATTAGGACACAAGTGTCATTTTGACATTAATGGCATGTATTAAGTATTTAATTCGACAAGTGTGTCATTGTACATGCGTGCCATAGAGAGTAATCGACGGGTGTGTTATAGTACACCTGTACGGTATTGCCTTGTGTGATATCTAGAACGCTTGAGCAAAAAATATTAATACGTATTTGTTTAGGCCCTGACCATGCTTACAAATTAAAAAAAAACTGGGAAGCTTAAACGAATTTAATGGCGCAATAAACTTAAACGACTGAACAATATGGCATAAGCCAGTTAGACGCGTGTGGTCAGGGCGAATCTTGACAAATGTTTTGGAGAGACGCCTTGCTCCCCGCATTACGTGTCACCGCCTTGCTCTCCGCATATCTGCCGCCCTCGTAAGCGCCCTCTAGCGGCGCCTGCCAGCACCACTACAGCAGCGAGGGAATCGTCGCAGGCGCCGATGAACCACGACGCCATCTATTTGCCTTCTTTGTCACTGCTAGTATAGCGGTGGTTACATAGAAAGCGCTTTAAGGCCTTAATATCATTTTATTATAGTTTTCCCAACTGTAAATAGGAACATTATTTCATACTTCATATAATTTGGAAACAAAGACGTTTTATCATTTTCTAGGTTTTAACAATGATGTGTACCGCAATAAAACCGTCTCCGGATGTAGGCAGTAAAATATTTTTACTGCTCTTTGCTGAGTAAAATAAATTTCTTGTTCGCAATGTCCGGTCTTTAAGCATCGAATTCTCTCTATGGTATTACTGATATTTATTTCGTTTTTCATCTTTTAATTTTATTTATATCTATACTTCTATACTAATATTATGAAGAAGAAAGATTTTTTTGTATGTATTGAAATAACTCAAATATAATGGACCGATTTAAAAAAAGTTTTCGCTTATAAAAAGCTACGTTATCAGTAACGTAGGCAATGTAATATTGTTTATTTAATATTACACGGGCGTAATCGCGAGCAACAGCTAGTATCAATATGATTGTAAAGATGGAAGTGTCATCAAGAATCAAGATGGAAGATAGATATCGGAAAATCACAAAAGTCTTCGTTTGTAGATTTTAAGTTTGTTTTTATATTTGTTTTCAGGTTAGCATATTTATTTCTATACTAATTAACTACATTGTGATTCAATATGAAAGATTTTCTCTGGGTTTACATTATCAGAATTAAGCTATTTAACTTGACGACGATCTTTAATACCCTCTTATTATTACCGGTATAAAAATGGAACTTTAGAAAGAGCATTTTAACATGTCACAGTAGATATTTCATCGAAATTGTGGTGTATATGTGGGTATGCCAATATAATGTACCGTCAGTAATATGAATAATAGATCAGTCCAGTACCAACCGTCGTTTCAATAACACTCCTACATTACAGAAATTTAACATTGTACGTGTCACAAAATATTTATTAGAAAGTGGTGTAATAGAGAAGGCAATTGAACCAAACCCAAGGCAGGTTTTTCATATTTTTGCCCATTTCATAATTCCCATTTTTACGGATGGAAGGATATTTGTTTGAATTTACAGCCTAAACTACTGAAAATATCTTAAATTTGGCATAGATTTAGAGGATAGTCTGCAAGAAATAACAGACTACTAATTAAGTTTTTTTTTTTTAAATTCTCAATGTATTCTTAAGGAAAGCTCGTTTAGTTATAAGTTGAATTGACAAAGATTAATAATTTCTTTATTCTTTGTTCATCAGACAGTTCAGTCGATGTCATGGGCAACAGACTGTTAAATAGATACTAAAGTTTTTTTTTCTTTTAATAAAATGAAAATATGCTTTGAATTTGTACAGCCAGTTTCTTTTGCTTTTCAATGAAGTGTTTTGTTGAATTCAACAAAAATTGTAATTTTAATATACTGTAATTTAGATAATTTAGTATTATATATAGTAATGTTTATTTAATTAAGTGTTCAAAGATGTAAGAGGACTAAAAGAACTAGGGTCTGTACCAACACTGGCTGATAGAGGCTCAGATAGCTTAAAAGTAATGTAACTGTCAGATAAGGTAACGAAATCCGATATTTCCATCACATATTTACACGTTGGATTGTTATCAGACAATTTACAATTTGGTGGGACAGGCTTAATATTCTTACTAATATTATAAATGCGAAAGTTTAGATGGATGGATATTTGTTAGAGTTTGTAGCCTAAACGGCTGAACGGATCTCGATAAAATTTGCCATAGACGTAGAGGATAGTCTGGAAGACCACATAGGCGACTCGATTTTTTTTTATTCCACGCGGACGGATTCGCGGGGGAAAGCTAGTAAGTAATATATAACTATAGCAAGTAATCTGTTAAAGTCATATTTCCTGTTCAATATATTATAGGAGCACATCTGACATCGTATAATAAACGGTCTCTATACGTCGAAAGTGACGCTAGAAACTTGAAAGCAGTATTCTACAGTGATATATCGAGCAAATCCAATATGTCATGTTAGTTCTTTGTTATCTTCATTCGATCGTTTTTTACTACTACATAAAAATAACTACAAATCTATACTAACATAAGAAAGCGTAAACACACACTTTTTTGTGGCGTAAGATGTCAGCAATCACAGCATATTTTTAAATAATTCTTTTTTGAATAAAAACCCTTACACTTCCGTCACGCTTTAGGCTATATTTTTTCACGCTATTAAAGTTAGGGTAAATAAATTGGATAAAAACTCTAATGTGGGAAAGAGACCATTACCTACTGCCAACATTAAAGAAGCAAAGTTGGCATAGTCATAATTGGTATTTTGACATTTGCAATTAAGAATTTAATAAAGGTAAACAATAAAATAAAGTATTTATAATTTCATGCCGATGAAGCCGCATGGGAACAGCTAGTTCTTCATAAAACTCTTCACAACGACTAAAGCCATCTACACATCTTGTACTTTACAGCCGGACTGTACAGTTAAATCGTATACTTGGGTAGGTAACAACATCGTCTATTAACTGCACTGTTCTTTTAAACTGCAGTTTTAATTGTAGCTTGGCACTATAAATGAAGATATGCACTGGACTGTATACAACAGTCCAATCGGTACCATACGCAATTGTAAACTACAAGCTGTTGCTCGTGACTTTGTCCACGTGACATGTAAGAAGTAGTACAAAATACAACCTATGTTACTACTGGGTATTATAACTGGATAATGTAGCTTTTTAATAGTGAAAGAATTTGAATCGGTCCTGTAGTTTTGAGTTAATTTTGTATTGACATACAAAAATCCAAATGTACAAATCTTTCTTCTTTATAATATTAAATATAGATTGAGTTAAATTTATTCGTGCTAACAACAGTTTGAACAAGTTGTCTGTTTATCCGTGCGTCGTTAAAAAAGCGAAAAATAATGTATGAGACTTTGTTTTTGGATTTAGTTTGACAGCCCAACCATATCAAACTATCAGCTAAAGTCTGTAGAGAATGTAGAAATAAAATACTCGTAATACGTAGTCTTTTATTCATAGTAAATATCTTTCCTGTCAATATGATGGTTTTCATTGTGAATTATGTTCTCTGAATGTTTGTTACTCCAGTCTTGATACGGATCCGAGTCAGTGAATACCTCCAAAGTCACCTCTTTCTGTTGTGTAAAATATGTTCACAGATTAAATAATAATAATAAGAGGGTGATCACACTTATGACTATAGTGTATCTAAATAAAATAGATTAGTTTGATAAATGACGCATATGAAGCATCGAATTCAATTTGTATGAAGGGAAATGCCATACTTAATAGGCAGGTATCGTAGTGACGAAACAAACACGCAGCGAACAATTTTTTACTATCGATATTCGGTTTAAATAATTATCGAACTCAACTTAAATTATTATTTTCTTATTCACTAATTTAGAGGACAATTCTAGTATTGATTATAATGTAGAGAATTTAGCAACGACAGAAATAATAGCGAAATCCAATTCGATTATGTACGGCTGTAGTAGTAAAACACATTTATTTACTCTCATTATTTGTTATGGCCATTATTATTTGAGAAAACAGTGTTTTTTTTTTATTTCATAAGTTATAAGTATAAATCTTTCAACTTCTATAACAATAAAAATCGAATATCGATAAGATTCATGACGGATTTTACACAACCCATCCCTACTAAATTTAAAATGAATTGTCAAACTAATCTAAATTGTTTAGACAAACTATAAACTATCGCATAACTGTTTAGTCTCGCTTTTTTTCTATGAGCTTACTCAGTGCACACACTACTAGATTTTTAGTTGTGCAACTAAACAGTTGAATTGCCTGCGAAACAATCGACAGTCGACAAATCACAGCAGTTGTGCGATTGTCGATTGTCGAAGGTGTGCTCCCGTTGGTATGGTCAACGACACAGTATTGTAGATGCGTTACCAACCTTACTATTTATGTCTAAAGTACTACATAAGAGTGCCTTTGTACATAAGATTCAACCGATGAGCTGTGTCATTACTCAATGTAAGATATAGTTTTAGTAAGAAACATCAGACTTACTACCCTTATCTTTTTTTATTATTTTCAAGCAAATTTACTACTACGACATTAGATGCTTTAAATTGTTATTGATTTAAATAATTTCCACTACATGATCTTACTCAAGGTAAATTAATAGCTTTTTTAAGTTATACGGATAACTAGCTTTCGCCCGTACCTCCGTCCGCGTGGAATTAAATAAACAAAATAAATGGATGTTTGTCAGAGTTTGTAGCCTAAACGGCAGAACGGATTTAGATGAAATTTGGCATAGATATAGAGGATTTTGTTTCTTTTTCAATTCCACGCGGACGGAGTCGCGGGCGAAAGCTAGTAGGATATATTTCCTTCTAGACTTTGCTCTACGTGCCAAATTTCATGGAGATCCATTCAGCAGTTTAGGTTGCAAGCTTTAACAAACATCCATCTTACCTTTCGCATTTATAATATTAGTATGACAGTTAGGGTTAGGGGTTCACGCAAAATACGCGCTAGTCGTGGAGTTGCGGAAACCGTAACCCTAGTAGTAGTACTACTACTACTACTAGGGTTAGGGGTTAATTAAAATAATACTGTTAGTGATTAATTCGTTTAATCCAAAATAAATGTTCGTTAGTACATTTTTAATAAATTATGTAACAATATAAATTAATATGTTATACTTAGCCATTTGTTAAATGCAAAATAGCAATACAAGTTAGAGCAACTTAGTTTTTAAATAATAAATAAATAAATTATTATTTACATATCCACCACGTAATTTTCGATTGACAAGTAAATATAAAAATTGCCAATTCTGATAGAATCGTAACTCTACATGTCAAATGTCAAACGGAAACAAACAGTTTCATTATTAGTTCGAGGTAAAACCATAAACCACTCGCCACAATCTCCGATCAGGTCTCAAACACCCAATTGTTTAGTCCTTTTTGTTGATAGCCTGGAAAATGTTCGCACATTTAATTCGTTTTTGTTAATTATTAACTCTTTGTTTATCTACTTCTAAATGCCCAATCTAGTGGTTGTCAATAGTTGTCCCAGTCACTGCTACGCCACTCTGGAAGGAGCAGGTTAAATACCCTTAAATACTTCGATTATTTTCTCCAATACCGGCAACGTGAAAGCATAGCAACAATCACAACACCATTTAAAGACTCAGTGATAGTTGACAGGAAGGGCCATAGTCAGTTTAGCAGCGACATTGAGGTAAAGAAAATATTATGATAACGAAGAGTTCAAGGACATCAAATAATCAGCCCAAAAAAGATATTTAAAAAGTAAATAACGCAACTATTTTTCTATTTCTTAAATATATCATTAAATTGTGTGAAATCTTTCACTATATATCTACTGTCGTCTATTAAAGGTTTTAAAAAATCGGTGCAGAAAATTCCCAATGCAAATGTGCGTCAATCGTCGTGAAGAACTTTCAATATCTTTAATTTTATAAATATGTACAGTCAGCTATATAAATATGAATACATTTACAGAGTTTCATAAACATGTATACGCCTTCCATTTTAAAAATGTATGCACGAATCCATCTATATGATTTCTACTACGATTTCTTTGTTAACAAATAAGTGCAATAACATTGTTGAAACCGAAAGCCTATATAGTATGTGGATATTGTGTATGTAAATATATTAAACAGCTGACTGTACACGTTTAATAAGAATTAAATTTATCCCAAATTACGTTAAAGGTAAGAAAAGTCAAGTTGTTCAGAAAAACATTTTATTCATGCACATGCAAACATTCATGCAATAAAGTGATGAACAATAAAAAATAAAAAACAGTTTACTACTTTATCACAACAAGTAATAAAACGTTTTTTATTATTCATCAGTTATAATAAATAATTCATGCAAATACGACTATATCTAATCGATCACCTGTGGAGAGAATAATTTCTTGAGTCCAATTATTGTTGCTAACAGAAGAGCTATTTTGGAGACTAGAAGGGCCTTCCCGACCATTAAATACAGGCCCTTAAATGTCAGGGCCCCGAGTAGACCAAACTTCATAGCTGCAGCGGCCAAGAATGGACCCATGTTCTTATTTCTGGCTCTTCCAGTTTCAATTGTTTTTGGTGCTTTCATTGAAACTCCTAAATAAAATGTAAACATTAGCGTGGGTTTCGATAGGAACACTTGTATGCATTTATATTGTCATCCTTTTCTTTCTATTTGTATAAACAGAGACCACAATATTGCCCATTTCAAGTATTACCATAGTGAAGCAATACTATTACTTTTACCATCGATCTTTTTATCTGTTAAATTATCAGCTAGATTAAGTTTGTAGCTTCGTTAAAAATAGTACCTTAATAGACTTTAATCTAGTAACTAAATTAATAAATACTTTTTTAACCTGTGTTTTTTTGCAAATACTGGAATTTATCTCAGAGGTGTTTTTAATAAAATTTATGAATCATAATTCACGTCTAGATGTTACAAATGAACGGGAATTTTTAAGTTTCATTTCAAATTACCTTGTTATTTAGTTGTGATTTACGGCAAGAAAAAACAATAAAAGTGTCCCTAAAATTTATGATTCAATTATATATCAAGTAAAGTTTTATACAAGATTTATAATACTATCGTTTTTCAATTTGCGAATTGAATGTCAAATTATAACAAGGGAGGTAACGTCTTAATAATGTTAAGGTCCTGTCCCACCAAATTGTAAATTGTCTGATAACAATCCAACGTGTAAAAAATGTGATGGAAATATTGGATTCTGTTATCTGACAGTGACGTCATTTTTAAGCTATCTAAGCATCAATCAGCTAGTAGTGGGACAGTCCCTAAATGACGAATACATTTTACTAGCTTTCGCCCGCGTCTTCTTGCTCGTGGTGTAAAAACAAAAGTGAGTAGCATTTGCATCTTTCCAGGCTCTACATCTATGCCGAATTCCACCGAGATCCATTCAGCAGTTTAGACTACAAACTATTAAAAATTTATCCTTGTAAACTTTCGTGTTTATAATATTAGTAAGATTGTTAACTCACCTACACCAAAGCTTCCGTCTTTCTGTTGTTTACCAGAAATAACAACATCAGCATTGTCAAGCAGCCTGTACCTCAAAGACCGTGTAGTCGCAAAGTTCCATAATTTATCAATGATAATCTCTTGCGCTTTGTCTTCTAAAGATTTACCAGCTCGTGCTAATGATTCAGACTTTATTGGCATTCTAGCTGCTGCGCCGTTACTAGAAATTTTATTGAGTTTCATTAATAAACAGTCGAAAATATGACTAGTTTTGTCCATCATCTCTCTGACTTCATCCCAGTCACGTGGGTCCAGGTGAAGGTCAATCGTAATGTTTTCGCTTTTTATTTACGACCCGACAAGGATCTTTGTTAGAAATAAATGTATTAAATCAAAGTAATATTGGATATAACCTGAATTTACTTTACTAGATGATCAGAGTTATATTGATATTCGAAAAATACATCAATGAATTAATTGTCCACTGGTAACCATCACTGATCATATTTAAACTAATAAATTTAAATGTAAATAAGGATATGATTTGTTATAACCTTTATTCTAATTGCTAGCAATCTCACCCAAATTATTTATAGACTAAGTAAATGACTCATGCCTAAGAGCGGACGCACATTTTTGACTAGACTATCACACTACTGTTGTGCGATTGTCGATTGTTTTGAAGCCCATTCAACTGTTTAGTTACACAACACAACTAAAAATCGAATAGTGTGCGCACCAACATATAAGCTTAAAGAAATCAAAGTTCGACTAAACAGTTGTTAGATAGTTTAGTCAAAGGTGTACATAATACATTTGATATTTCTCTGCAGTTTACCTTTCATCAACGATCATCATATCGTCTGTAAGTTGGACAGTGGCAGTCTTCAGAATTTTGTCCGCGTACCCGACGAACTCTGCAGCGAGACACGACGAGATTTCCCGCGCGACGCATTTATTGTTTAAGCTACGTTTTACCGATTCTTCTGATCTTATCTGGAACAAAGACACGAATCTGTCAATTTTCTATAAGAATGTTAGAAATTCAATAAAAATTTCCGATAATATGAGCGAGAGAAACATGAAATATGACACTGGTAATTTATGGTCATTTCAGTACTATAGATAAAGTTACTAACAATACTACATGTTAAAGTAGCAAGAAGTAAAATGTTGCAGTTATTTTACTATACTAATATAATAAAATAATAATATTTTACTATACTAATATATATCAGCAATCACGGCATATTATTGAATAATTATTTATTTAATAAAAAGCCTCTACACTTACGCCCCACTTTAGGCTACGTATTTTCACACTATTATACTTAGGTGGAAGTAAATTGGAAAAAACTTTCATGCTGGAAAGGGAAAATAAACGACAAGCTGCCAACATTATGGAAGCAAGGTTATTATGGTAACAATTTTGACATTTGCAATTGATAATTTGAGAAATAAAATAAAGTTTTTATAATTTCATGCAGATGAAGCACGGGAATAGCTAGTCAATTATAAAGACTCAAACTGTTTACTACTTTTTACTGACATAACTAATAGAATAATTGCCATCGAAGAATTTCAAATCACTCTAAATGTCTTTTTACAATTGTTCAGAATTGTGGGAACATTGTTAACAGTACCAAACACTTTCAATACATTCATCATAAACACTTTCATAATCATTACAATATGATATTACAAAAAGTACATGGGAAAGTAAACTTTATTGAAAGGGAATAAGAACCAATCAATGTGATATCAAGGTTAAGGAGAAACTCGAAGGCAAAAAGGAACTGGTGTAGCTTCTGTACTTTTAAGGCGAAGTTTCAATTTAAATTGAGTCAATGACGCTTCTATTGACATATATTGTTATCTCTCTCTTTTTTATAGAAAAAACAGGTACAAAGGTATCATGGCATTCGGAACCCAGAACCATAATAGTCGTTGGTTGTTAATTTTATTTTATCAAAAAAAATTACACAACCGTTTCGTTTTACACAAAATTGCAATACTTGTAAAATTACATCAGCTGTCTTTGTTTTCTCAAAGAGTATGACAGAGACAACTATAGTAATTGATAAAGATGAATTTCAGATATTTTCAGTAAAACTCGAATGACTATTGAAATAATTTTCCTTTAACATGTAAACATGTGCTAATTACCAATGCCTTAAATGTTTTTTATAAGAGAAGGTCCAAAATAGCATAAACACGGTTTTTATCGATACTCAGATGCGTAGTCGACCTTTGACAACGTGATATTGCTCTCAAAGTGCAAGCATCGCCTTAACGTAAAGCCAATAGCTCTGGGAATCGACAGCGTCGCGCTAGTTTTCCACTTTCCCTGTATAATTGATACCTTGTATAGATTGACTGTGACCTAGTTACTTATTAGTAACTTAGAACACGTATTTAACGATTCTGTAAAACAGTTGTTTAAAAGTTTTCTTTTTTTTTAAATCAAAAAGTTATACACAATGCAGAAAACTTCGATATAAATGTTAATATTAACAAGTAATAACTTACGTTTTAAGTATTTATAAAATTAATATAGTATAGTTAAACAGTAAAAAAAACTGACTTTGTAATAAATCTCAAAGAAGAGATTATGTTTTACATAAATAAACAAGCGCTTGACCACGACTCCACCTAAGCTAAGTGAAGACGCGGCCGAAAGATAGAGCGCGCCAGCTCAGTGGTGGTAACAAAATCAGACGAGTCATAAACATTGTAGAATTTCATAAACCTATTGACTAAATGAGGCAATGTTAGCGCGCGCACCTTTGACTAAACTGTCGCACAATTGTTTAGTCGCGCTTCGATTGCTTTGAGCTTATGCAGTGTGCACACTAGTCGATTTTTAGTTGTGCAACTAAACTGTTGAATTGACTGCGAAACAATTGACACCAGTTGTACGATAGTTTAGTCGAAGCTGTGCGTCCGCTCTTAGACTTCCATCCATTTGAAAACGTATCACGGTCTATAAAACAAATGGATTGATAATACAATTAGCACATATGAAAACCGTTAGAAAACATAGTACGCCAGAAGATAATCCGTTCAACCATCACATTTATATTAGTACCGGTTTCCACTGGTAAAACAATTGAATAACGGTATACTTTATTCGAAAAAACGAAACAATACAAATATTGACAGCATTTGAAATTTATTTATTTATTTATTTATTTATCATTGGTTTATCAACATAATTACATGACTTTAAATGAATTTCTTTGTAGCGTTAATAATACAAATACACATGGCATCATGAAACTACAATTATAAATAAACACATCTTGCTTTAACTGTGTTTTATTGCTTTAATTTGGTATTGTCACTTGATTTTTTGGACGGGCAACCCCAAAGTGGTTCTTAAAGTCATGGCGGCAATGTAGACGGTAGTGGTTATTAGATGGTCGAGTGATGAGAGATACAAAATCAATTGGTATAGTTAGGTGATGACGATGAAACTAATGCATGTTCTATTTTATTCTTACTAATATTATAGATGCAAAAAATTTCAGCATTAATACTTGTTAAAAGGTATCTACAAAAAAGAATTATCATAATCGGTCCACTAGCCGCGGTGTTAAGCCGTAACACACATAAAAAAAAACATACAGACAAATTGAGTACCTCCTTCTTTTGGGGAGTCGGTCAAAAACGGAACATAACATATCTGATAATACAATACTGTAATGGTAATATATCGTGCTTGCAGTATATCGTTAATCATTTAAGGCGTCATAAATCGTAGCTTCAACGGTCTCGT